TTTTTTTCTCTCTCTCTCTCTCTCTCTCTCTCTCTCTCTCTCTCTCTCTCTCTCTCTCTCTCTCTCTCTCTCTCTCTCTCTCTCTCTCTCTCGTTCTCGATATTTTCTTCGTGAATGTATGATTTTTCTGATAACTCCCTTGCCCTACCAACTTCCGAGGTCCTATCCTGCTCGTCTCGTTGAATTCAATAGGATCTCTCGAGAACGAGTATCATTGAATTTAAAGAGACTTGCAAGATCTTGTGATTTTATCTTGTCGCACTCTCTCCTCCTTGATATTTGATTGTTAATGAATGGGTGATCTCTCGCACATATGTATCGATTGAGTGGTTACCCTGATGACGGGAACAAAGTAGGAATATGATGTGATTATTTCGATGCATGCTTAACTATTCGCAGGAATGAAGGATAGTTGTTCTCTCGACTGATTGGATTACATGGACTTAGACCTTAGATCGGTTTGCACAGTGGGTGAAAGATAATGCATACCGTGGTGTCATTTATTCCTTAGATCGAATAACGGATTGATTAGACATACGCAATCATCCTCGCTTATGTCATGTGAACTGATTGCCCTGATCCGAATGGGCGTCAACTTCTCATATCCTCGCCACACCCGTTCTCATATAACGAGGAAATAATACGCGTATGTGAGTGGGATGTACGAGAAGTCCTCGCCAACATTGGTGGGCGCTATTATTTTCCTCCCGAAACAATGTGCTCAGGATTCGTAGGCGCTGGTTTTGTCATTGTTGATACCTATTTTCCCCCGCACTCATTGGTATTGCATTTTAACGAGTTGATTGTCATCTCGTGGATGGAGGTGGCACCTCATTGGCCCAACACTCTGTGTAGCGATTGTCGTTGCACGGAGCGTTATCGGGAAAAAAAGTTCCACTACCAGACACATGCTGAGGATGAATACAGGGAAAAAGCGACCAAGCTGAGGCCATCCACGTCGGATTCCGAGTTTTGTAACGAATAGCGTTGAGACTTAATTTGAAAACAAAATCCCACGTGTGTACCCCCCCCTTTCCGTTCGAAAATACGTTGAGTAACCCGTATGGAAGTTCAAAGATATTTTTTTGACTAAGCGACCGTTTGAAAATAGCGCATGCTATTTGTTTTCTGCGGCTGTGGTCATTTCTCACTAAGCTGGAAACACACGGGGGGATTTTCGTTCCGTCTATCTCCCCACGCTGAATTTTTTTAGAATCCTTGACACACCCCATTTGTTGTTTTTTCATGGCATGTCCCGCACATTTTACCATTCCGACCATAAGACAGCACATGGCGTGAGGTTGGACCGTCACAGGGAGTTCCAGGTTGATAATAAGGATTAGGCTGGTCCCTATGTATGATAGACATGGTGAATCGGTCGATGATAGTTTCTTGATGAGGGAGGATGATTGGGGCAAAGACGTAGGTAACCCTTGTGCGGCCATAGGGGGGGGGTTGTATAGAAGATAAAGGTTCACAAGAGTATCATCTATCTGGGAATAGGATTGGGTGAATGAGAGAGAAGATTGGAGAGAAAATTGGATTGGATTGAGAACTAGTTTGTGCCCCTAGTTGTGGGGGCGGAAGCTTCAGACTCTTGGAGCAGATTAAGGGTTAGATGATAATTCAGATGGTTGGTGAGTTGGTGCATAGATATAGCATAATGGACGTCACATACAGGTTTGTTGATGACGAGGATGGAGGGACTGAAGTTGATGAGAGACGCAGTGTGTGTGAACACACCTCACGCTTTTGTCACACTTATGGATACATGTTTTGTAAAGAAGCACAATCACAATGTCTCAATTACTTGTGTGATTGAACATAAAACTTTCAACAATCAAAAGCAGAATCCTACTATGCATGAAATAAAACATCCACATAAAACAAAATGAAAGAGAGACATTCATACACATAAAAGTTGTGCACTTACCAAATAGATTGCTCAAGAAATTGAAATCATAGCCATTGAAGATATCAAAGATGAAACGCTCCTCCATGTATAGAAGAACAATCATCTGTGTCATGCTTCTTGCAATCGGAGGAATGTAACGAAAGTTACATATTAATTAATTCACACAGTAACGAAAACCAAAACCACATTATCTTCTTATTCAAAAGCAACCGATGACTTCATGCATCTATTCAAGCAAGAGAGAGTCATACCCATACATATGCATAAAGCTCATGCAAATAAAAGGTCAAGCAACTAAAAAATCGAAGATTCGTACAATTTAAGAGGATAAACGATGCCCTCTCCATGCACAATTTGCACTTAAAGGATCATACATAAATAACCAAGATAAGCGAATTACTCTCACACAAATGTGACACAATCGCCAATATTCATCACTATGCCACCATCGCATGAGCACTGACAATCCGTCGCCATACACCCCACGACTACTCCTAGTGATTGCCACTCCATCGATACAACCCCTGTGCTAATCTGCTCAATTTCTGCAATCATACGACTACCAAAAAGATTCCACAATATTGTTATCAACCCATCGAGACTGTTGGACCCACTAAGTACCACCGGCTAGCCATTACTTAACCAAAGTTGAAGGATAGTGTAAAAGAGAGTGAGAGAAATACACTTGCAATATTGATAGTTATAAAGATGTGAGAGCAAGGGTGCATGCAAGGGAAAGGGGGGCAAAAAGGTTAAGGAGTGCATGATGTCGTCGAAGAAAGAGTCCATGATTAGTCAAACCGCAATGTAATGGATCAGACGAATCCCCACTTAATGATTCAATCTCTACAACCATGTCGACTAGCCAAGATCGTGCGAAGGTTGGAGCGAAGGCGGGAAAGGGAGTTACGAAAGATGGTTTAGGCAAGGACCAAGATAAAGCAAAACCAAAAACGAGAAGGGAGGGATAAAGGAGGGACAAAAACTGTTATGATCATTGAGAAGACTTGAAGAAGGTTGGACAAAGGGGGCTCAAGAGATTGCATGCAAATGCGTGCACGGAGAAGGCGAATGCGCAAAAAGCGTAAAGGCACAAAAAAAGTTATGCGAAGTATCACTAAAAGTAGGCAGCGCTTCCGCATCACCGTAAAAAAGCGTCGCCGTTGCCGTGCCAAACAGGCAGAGTTTCCCCTGCACCGCTTGCAGAAGACTCGCCGCCGCCGTGCAAGACGGGCAGAGTTTCCCCTGCGCCGCTTGCTAAAGACCCTGCCGCTGCCATGCAAAACGGGCAGAGTTTCCTCTGCGCCCCACCAGCTGCAGCGGCAGCTATGGCTGCCCTCACTCTCATGCTCCCTCTAGACCTCCAGCGATTCCCTCTCTCTTCACCTTGCTGAGATGGCGGCTATGGCTGTGTTCCACAGCTATGGCCACCTCCAGCAGTTCTCTTCCTCCCTCGCCTGCAGACCTCCTCTTCAACCAGCAGCAGTTCCCCCTCCTCTCACTMGCAGCTCCTYCCAGCAGCAGCAAGCCAGCATTCACTCAAGTGAATTGCTAGCAGCACCAGCCACAAAYGATTGCTGGCTRGCTGCTTGCTGGYTGCTTTTATAGTTGTGRRAGGTAGTGGTAGCAGCCTGAGCTCTCAGCCAAAAATTCGAGCTYAGGCTGGRCCCTTGATCTCTTGGTGAGATCAAGGGCACATACCAGCCCCACACAGCAGAAATGGYCAGSTCCACTCATAAAGAAAAGGACCTGGCCCTCTTCCTGCTGTAAAACCAGCAAGGGGGGGCTGTAYCTAGCCACAACCCTTGTTGGTCTGCTACTGCTGAGGTTCAATCTCAGCAGTGCACCTTCTCCTAGACCTRGCCAAGTTCAGAGYCAGGCTCTTAGCCGGTTTGCTGCACAAGGTGCAGCGAACCACTTGGGAACATGGCCCGGACAGCGGCCAGGTTCAAGCAAAAATTAAGAAAGGTGCCCTCTTTCTCTCTCAACCCTGGCCATATTCGGTGCAAGCCCCCTTGCTAGTTTGCTGCACCACCAAGTGCAGCAAACCGTTTGGGAACCTGGCCCCGACTGTGGCCAGGTACGTTATTTCTTTTATTTTTGCAGGCGCCCGAACTTGGGCGCCATAGGTGCCAGGTTCCAAGGCTAAGAGTCCTGCTGCCCGTTTCCCTCAGCGAACCGGTGCAGGCAGGTATTGGTTCCTACACACACACACACAGTCTGAGTGGACAGTTCCCTGTTTTAGGGGCAAGTCCATTCGATTGTGCTTACCCCATACCAAAGGGGCAGCCAAAAGAACGGGCACAAAGAGAGAATAAAGAATCTGAAAATTTTAAGAAAATGTAGAAAGAATCTAAAGGAAGAAAATCTAATGAATATCTAGCAGCCGCGCAACATCTTTTAGGTAGAATAAGTCTAGTCTAAGACTTTCTACGACCGCGCACCCCTGCGGCCATGTCAAGACCTGCGGATGACTGGCCATAGCGCCGACTCCCGCTGTCTCGAACGGACACCGTTGTCGTCACATGTCAACGACGTCCCATGTCAACGACGTCATACATCAACGACATCAGGCTTTAGGTTTCTCAGTTATAGGGTTGGTCTGAACAACTTTTGGCAACGTCAATCTCAACCAGTTCCTCAATCCCATAAAAAATTCGGACAGCGACTGACCTTGACAAACTCGGGCAGAAACCCTTACAGGGGTTTCTGTCCCGACAGCCTTCCCCGTCCCCATTAAGCGACGTCCCCATCGCTTATCATAAGCAATACAAGGGGAAGTCTTTATAAGATCTCACCAATTATATCACATAATCGCATTATATCTGAAATTAATCCAGATCTTACATACTCACTCATAAAAAGTGAGGTTTCCGTCGTTCATCTTTCTTTCCTTTTATAATCACCTGGATACTCTTCTATGAAAATACTCCATGCATATTTCATTACTCACAATACGTCAAACATTGACTTACTTCTAATCATAACAGAGGCTTACTTTCAAGCCTTAAACAGATAGAGGCTTACTTTCAAGCCTTTAACATACAGAGGCTTACTTTCAAGCCTTTTGATTCTTTCGAACCTTCCTTCGAAGGCACTTTCATTCAGTCACGAGTTRRAATGGGGCCAKAATTAACCTCCGGCGGGTCTTTCCCCGGAACCTGGAATCCACCGTTGGCTTTATCCAACGTGAGGAGTTACAAGAACATTTAAGAAGAATGATCCCAGCGTCATCCCACTGGCGGCCACTCATTCTCTCTTCTTGTCTCTCATAGATGGGTCAGGCTTATCCCCCTGTTGGGACTCTCTTCAGGCTATAACCCCCTGTCTAGGTCTCGTCAGGCTTAACCCCCTGCGGGTCTTTCGTCACACAGCACATACTGCCAGGAATTTAACCTGGGTCTCTCGTGTCCATGGGGGTGCATTCCTAACACCTCAGCATGTCTCTCGTTGTCAGGAGTTTTAACCCGGGCCCCCCACTAAACACAAGGGTACTCACATTATACTACAGCATGTGCCAGCACCATCCTAGAGAGAAATCACCCTTTTCAAAAATCCTTTTCCAGTCCGGCTAATTCCCACTCCAACTCAATTGTCATGCACGATTTATCTCCTATATGTATTGTGAATGCGTCGAGGAGTGGTGTAATCCATAAAGGATAACATCTCGACATCAAGCCCCGCTTTAGACTCGAGCCTCACCACCTTCCCTCCGATTCCAGTGTAATGCATCCGTTAGTACCCTACCAGCAAGGTTGAACTACCCCTCCCTTATGACCTAAGCTGATCAGACCCGACCATAAAGTCGAGGCGACCCCATCCACCACAAAAGAAAAGGTGATTAATCTTTCCCTCATGGTGAGCGGTAATCGCCACCCTCACAAGCCAGGTTCCAACAAACATATTACTACCTTCCTCCCTTTCGACGATAGTGTAGCCATCCCCCTCGAAAGGAGAAATGACAGCATCCCGCTATGGACCACGAACAAAGTTCCGGTGCAGGCCTCACTACCGTCTACGGGGCTCACAACATTAGGATTCCTCATTGCATGACAATTAACACAGAGTCAAGTCATAAAGTAAGATAAATAATTGAATCACATGCCTGACGAATAAACGCATGTTAATCCAGTCAGGTATATAACTCAAGTACAGATCATTCCCTTAGACTCGCACTGACGAATTCTTACATTCATAATCACATACACGGAGTCCCATAAGAATTCCAGTTTTTTTTTTTTTTTTCCAGTCCTTCTTATATATGATGAACACTTCAACAATATAAGTATCCATCAGCTATTTCACAATACACTTCTTGCAATGAACATCCAATCATGATAAGAATCTCACAAAGTCCTTTGGTATCATAATCATCTTGCAACAAGAGTCACAATCCTATTGATAACTTTTCAACCTCAATACTTCAATTAATACTTTACAACTTTCTTGGTTAGCCTAAGACAAAAGTCAGAACCAACTGAACCATAATACAAAAGCAAGAAGGTTACCAAAATTGATGCCACCAATTACCTCCTCTACCCTTCCTTTCTAAAAGTTTTCACTAAACTCTTGGGATAAACTTCCGTAGATGTGCACCCGATACCCAATTTTTACTCCGAGATCCATCTAATTCCTCTATTTCATATGCCCCATGTTTTGTTTTCCTAGTGATCCGATATGGTCCTAGCCACCGACTGTCTAGTTTTCTGGACCACTGTTTTTCTAGCGACATATCATACAACAATACGATGTCTCCCACTTCCAACGACTCTTTTCGTACACGTGGCCTCTTGTCCCATCTTTCCTTATCAGCCTGCCTGCTTCCAGAAGTAGAGACAGTCGCGTCTTCAATCCGTTCTTCAGTCACCATGATCTGTCTTGCCCTCAATTCCAACAACTCTTCTGTTGAGAGTTTTGTTTCCACGTCCTATTTCTGCCAAGTGGTCAGGAAACTCTCAATCGGAAAAGTCGCATGCCGTCCAAACCATAATGTGATGGGAGCATACCCGGTTGTTCGCTTGACGGTAACATTTTCAACAAAAAAGGTTGCCCTCAAATAAATTGGCCATCTTGATGGTTCCCCCTTGCACCATTTAGCCAACAAGTTAGACAAGGTGGTATGTCCTCGTTCCACGGGTGCATTGGTCTGGGGATGCGCTCTCGTTGTATAACTGAAACTCACCCCAAGTCTCTTTAAAAGCGTTTGCACTTCCTTTGCTCGAAACTTGCCTCCTCGATCCATAACAATCTCTTGAATAAATGGATAACGGAGGTAATATTCCTCAATGCACTCTGCCAAGACTGATCCAGTACGTTCGCGAATGGCACGACCATCAACGAACCCAGTCAAATTGTCTCGTGCATCAAAGATGTATCTGTATCCATTTATCCCAGGTGGCATTACCAAAAGATCCGAATGCACCACCGCACCTGGTTCTGCCACATAACGTGGATTCAGGGGCTCGAGGTAGCGGATGTTAGACCTCTGCTGGCAAGGGAAACAAGATTTACAAAAGTCAATCACCATCTTGCCCATCCCTTCCCAAAATAAAGACGTTGGATCTTGTTCAAAGTTACCCGCGCAGATCTGTGTCCGCCGGCTACCCCATCATGCAGGGCAACAATCACATCCAACTGCCGAGAGATCCCGCATACCACCCTCTTTGGGACACCATCAGCAGCCTTCTTAAGGAGATGACCGTCACGAACAACGAATCCTTTGCTTTTCTCTGGCACAACCGGATCAACCTCACTTTCGCCCAATTCCCCATTCAACCACATTGCCTATTTTCTTATATTCCCCTTCGTACTCCTTTTTCTTAAACACTTCTTTGAGCTCACCGCCTCCTTCCTCCGCATTCATTAACCTCAGGTGATCCTCGTGAACCAACAAATTCATGATATATGACATCCTTCCAACGATCTGGAAAGCGCCATCAGCCCGCGTATGGCCCTGTTCAATCGTTACCGGATCAAACATAAGGTCGATGTCACCGGTCAAAGCCAGCCTCATCATTTCCTCTGCGGTCTGCTCGCCCCATGGATCCTCTTTGATGAAAGGTTCCTCCACCACGAGTTCTGGACGTACCTCGTGAAAGGCAGGAGCATTCCATATCGATTTCCCATGCCGAGTGGCTGCATCAGTCAGGTAGACAAAAATGTTAATACTCAATCGCGCCTCCTTTTCCTTCAGAAAGGCATTGACCGGAACTGATTCTTCCGCCTGATCCGCCTCTGGGTCCCATTCAACCCGACTCAACCCATCAGCACGATTCTGACTCCTCGAAATCCGCTCGATTTCAAAGTCAAACATCCAAATATAAGTTAACCATCGTGCAATGGTGGGATCAGCAGGTGAATAATTCCTTAAGGATTGAGCCAATGCAGTCGGATCCACCCGCAGGATGAAGCGTCTACCGAACACATAATTCCGAAAGATGCGGAAGCAGTGAAGCACGACCAAAGTTTCTTTTTTGAACTGGGAATAGTTCCTCTCAGCAACATTCAGAGTCCTGCTCTCAAATCTGAGAGGCATTTCCTGCCCCTCAGCATCCTTCTGAATCAAGACCCCTCCTAGGGCTGTGGGCCCCACATCAGTCTCAATAAGAAAAGGACGTTTTTCATCATCATCAAAAAAAGGAACTCCAAGGATCAATCCGCCCTCACGGAACTCAGTCTTTATGTCTTCCACGACCGCTTGCTGCTTCGGACCCCATCCCCACTTCTGGCCTTTGCGCACAAGCTTTCGCAAGTGCTCCACTCTGGCGGCAAACCTGCGGATGAAGATGCGCCAAAATCCACAGGTTCCGAGAAAACTTCGCACATCCGTGATTGACTTGAAAGGGGTCGGCCATTCCAAAATTTTATTAGTCTTCTTCGCATCCGGCCGACGACCTTTCTCATCGCAAAGGAATCCCAAGATCACTGCTCTCTTCATACAATGTCGAGACTTAATCCCACTAGCTGTGAGATTAAACTCTTTCAACCTCTTAAGAACTTTCACCACATCATTGATATGTTCCCAGACAAATCGGCGAATGCTCGGCAACACCTCCGCCAGGTCTTTCGTATGAGACCCTGGGATAGCCAAGTAGTCAATATACGGCGAAGTTATGTTAGGACAATAAGGCTGCATAACCCTCGTCATATATCTCTGAACAATGGCAACGACATTTGTCCACCCCTGCGGTGCCACACACATATGGATCAACCCGCGAGGAGTATACATCGCCATCTTGGGCCGATCCGCAGTGTAAATGAGAAATTGATCATACCCGGAATATAAATCAATCAGGATGATGATAGACCTCCCTGCACAAGACTCCGACAGTAGGTCCGCATGTGGGAGTCCACCTGCATCTCGCACTGTCACCGAATTCAGCTTCTGAAGGTCCTGAATCCATCGCAGAGTACCATTTGGTTTGATGAAACAGAACCATGGAGATGCATACGACCCATAAGAATAATCTGCAACCTTTGTCCGGATCTTTCTATCGAGATACGCGACCACTTTACGGTGATCTTCTGAATTCGGATAACGTGGCCCTCTTACATTCCATGGTTCGTGTGGTACAGTATGAACTCTGATCATTGGGATTTTATCGACATCCAGCCTTCCTCGCTCATCATCATCAAACGCATAGGAGAGATGTTCCTCCTTCAATATATCGATGATATATTCTTTTTCCTGCTCAGTAAGGAGGTCCTCCTCCCCAATGATCATACTTCCCACTCTTTCTTTGATTAACCGACATGGCCCCTTTTCACCTCTCTCTTTCATTTCTCTGATCCACTCGCGCTCCTCATGATAATAAACTTCCTCCTCTTGAGAGATCAGAACAGGTACCGGCTTCGCCTTCACGCCTACTTTCTTGTACTTACGTTTGGCGCCGGTGTCAAGCCTGCGTCCTCTAAAAAAGGACCCTGTCGGGTGGAGGGTAATTCCTGATTTTCTCCCTTATTCTCCTCCGACGGGGAGTAAACGAGGCGCATAGTTCCTACGCTTCCGGTGTCCGTGATGATTTCCGTCAAGGCTTGCATCACATTTGGATCAATCGCCGCACGTGTCGACACAAAATCGATTGCCTGCCCAATATTAGGCAGGGTCAGCGAGAACTCACGAGCATTCGGCTCCTCCCCTAACGATTCCTTCTCCCGTCTCAACTTTTCTAACTCCGGGAAGCTATAGGATTCCGGGTTCAACCGGTTCCGCGAGCAATAGGGTCCTGTGTTCGCACACTTGACCACTTCGTAATGACCGCAGACAGGATCACAAAGGATTACAAACATGATTCCATCATGCTTGTTAATGATGATGCTCTCCGATCGACATAGGAATGCCCTTCCCAGAAGCACCTCGTGTTCCACTCTAGGTAACACGTAGAAATACGAACGGACCTTGACCTTTCCGATCGTGACGAGAACGCCACTGGCTGTTCCGCAAAATGGAGTTGATCCACTAGCTCCCACCCAAAACCCATAGTCATCTCGGTTGATCTTCAACCCAGCTTCGATGGCATGACGCTCACGAATGATGTTCATCTCGGCTCCATCATCCACAAGTGCCGAGTACTCCTGCTGTCCAATCTGGACCTTCATATAACCGGTCGACACACTTCGCCAATCCATCTTTGTCCCAGGCGGGGACCAGTTAGCCTCCGGCGGAATGACTTCGCCGAGCTTAACAGTCATGACTCTCTTACGAGTCATCCGCTGTTTAAACTCTTCTTGAATCTTCGGCGATACCGCCAAAATTTTCTTCAGCGTGACCAAGTCGCGCTGACTTTCCAGAATCTTATCGACGAGTTGCTCGATATCGACCCCATGCTCCACGGGGATCGAGTAAATATTTTTATTCTTTCGCGACTCTTCCTCGTTTGCTTCGGCCTTCCCTTTCTGCGGCTCCCTTTCCAGTGCACGACGACGAGCCCGTTCTTCCTCTTCGGCCCGCAACTTCTCATCCTCGTTATCCTCATCGTTCTCACTAACGGGGATAGGCTCTTCTTCGACTGCCTTTTCAGACTCTCTTTCCTTCTGAAGCTGCTCATTTGGTCGCCGCATCCGAGTCTGCATGACTACAGTCGGGGCACTCCTCTTTAGCACAGGCCTAGGTCGCATCGTGCTTACCATTGGCCTAGTTTGTGATGTTTCTCTCGGAGCAGACGTCCCTGCTTGGCCAAATGCATCTTCCCTTTTATCACCCCATTCGCCGAAGAGAAAGACATTCGGCAATCCAGGCCAGACTTCCTCCATGTCCGCGCAAAGTCGGACGATAGAGTCCCGGCATCGGGCAAGCCGCCTCGTGATGGTTTGTGCTCGTTCCACCACTTGTTCCCTAAACCCTTCTGGTTCCGTCGGTGAGTCGTCAATATGTAACGAAGCCATGACCTCCTCGACCTCGGCCAACTGCGCTTCTTCAGGAGAAGCAATCCGGAACGTCGCTGGCAGGGGACGACCCATTCGGCGAAACGCCTCCTTCCTCATACCCCCTTCAATGTTGGGGTCGATTGAATTCCCTTCGTAATCAAAGACTTCACCGCGTATCGTGGTGAAGACAATTCCTTCGTATCGTGGTGAAGACAATTCCTTCCTTCTCATCTCTTGATAGAAGTTGGCAAAACCGCATAATATGACCCTTTTCTGCGCAATAGTTACATGTGGCTTCCTGCTGCTACGCCCAACGGCTTCGCTGTCCGTTCCCACGGCCTCGACCGCGGCCTCTTCCACCCTGTGGTTGAAACTGCCCTTGATCCTGCGAATTTTGTCTAGACGAACCACCGCCAACACCGCCATTCCCTCCTTGATTATTTTGTCCGCCATTGGTCCCCTGTCCACCTCGAATTTGATTCAAAACCTTCCTCTCCGCCTTTGTCAACTTACGAGGCAGCTCCTTTTCTTCCTCGCTCTCACTGTCACTTTCCTCTACCACTGGCTCTTTCCCCTTCCTCTTACTATTTTTCTCTTTGGCCAGCATGACTTGAAACTTCAGCCTTTCCTCTTTCATGCCTTCCATCATTTCTCTCATGCAGGTCAAAGTTTTATAGATCTTACCGTCCTTTACCTCTCCCAGCTTCACCTTCTCCCGTTCCTCCTTTTGTTGCCTCAACAACCGGTAGAGGATATCGTCGAATTTCCCCACCATCGCATTTTGCCGGACCTTAGTCCAGTCATACCTCCTTTGCATCCCTTCAACTAACTTCGACTGTTCGACGTCGTTGAAGTTATCAAGGAAGATGAGACAGCGATCTTTATCGGATAAATCCGGGATTAGGAGAGCCACACGCTCAAACTTCGATAAGAATTGTTTGGTAGTACCAAACTTCTTACGATCCACCGCCCTCAAATCTCGCAGGTCGAGTAACTGATCGCTGAGCTGGTACTTCTCCAGCAACCGCGCCTTAAAATCTGGCCAATTACGGGAGATTCGCACCAGCTCATCGATCTTATCTCGGTACTCCACCTGACAGTACCTCTTAACCATGCGAAGCATCTTCTCATCCGTCCATTCGTTGCTATACCCGAGTTGCTCAAACTTGTCTGCCCAAGAAGAGGCATGATTCCCATCGAACAATGGAACATCAATCTTGGGGTAGGGCTCTCGCTGCGACTGCCGGATGACCCGTGCCAATTCTTGAATGTCGTTCCTCCCATCGTCGACGTTGTTGCGACGTCCTGCGGCACCGTCCATCTAGAAACATAAACCCAAGAAATCAGTCTAGGAGTTTTGGAGACATCTATTAAGGTTCCTTCCTTACATTTATAGAGGCTCAGAGATTACTAACCTTTTTTCTTAGACAACCACTACGGCACAATCTTTCACTTGCTTCATTCTCGAGTGTCGTTCCACCAGGGACAACGGTAGTTTCCCGTTATCCCCGGCAACGGCGCCACCTGTCGAGCGCATCGGCCCCCGCGCGAGCGAGGACCCTCCCGGCCGCATCACGCAGGAGAAACTTAGGCTTTCAACTTTTTTAGAGACAATTTGAGGACGACACGGTAACCCGCGTCGACCCTTCGCCGCTCCGGCCGAGTGCGCCAGCTGTACATCCCGCGGCCCCTTATGACAGGACAGGTTCTCGCGGGGCACAACTTACCTTCCCTAAGGGGCTGTCACCACCCTTAGGGGCGTATCCCTACCGAGCTACCGACCCACATGCGAAAACTTTTATAATGCAATTGCAGAGGTAGGCCGACCGAGGGTGTTTACTCGTTCGCTGTAGCATAGGTATGCATGGTTAAACCCCAAGTGGACTCGAACGCCTCCCGTCCCTGGGGCGCTGATCTCCCAGGAATCGGAACACCGTCGGTCGACTAGGACGTGATATTCCAAGCGTAAGAAAACCTCAATCAATCCTAGTCCCTTCTTCCAAAGACAATCAAAAGTTAAACATCAAAGGAAGACTCAGGTCAACGTAAGCTGACATATATTCTGAGATCAACTTATATATAATACAGCCATGCATACCACTCGCCCCGATCAATTTGACAAGGGTTGATTTGACTTTCATCCAACGACGAGACACATGAGTTGACTCGCCTTCGGACCTCACTTATCAACAAAAGGACAAAGCATGACTTATACACGATGCAAAGCTCAAATGACATCCGACTAAAGTATCTACACTCTACTTGTCAGACGGTTGGATTGTCACGACTTTTCCGACTCGATGAGATACGTTGCCGAGTTCTTTCATTCCACCGCATGCTGACTGCAAGCAAGGAAATGCGGACATCCCAACCCTTAAGTAGAGCTAGGATCACACTGTTCTCTCGATGACATCACTACCTTTCCAACTTTGGTGTGAATGTCATTTGCAAGTAGTCCGGCTACCACTATACGAGTCAGTACTCGACTTGAACGTGACTGCCTCATTAAGGTCAAGGATCCATTTTCAAATTTTGTTGGTCGCTTCGTCCTGCTGAGCCATGATTACTTTTTCTGTCTCACGGATGATGAACTACCAGTCTGCGATATAAAGATATTCAAGGCAATGCTTTAGTTACATTTTTCCCGTCAACTAGTCTGATCGTCCCAGGCTTGCACTTCTTATGGTGCAACGCTATCCGCGAAGGTAGTGGATAGTCGCACTCCGTCCATAGCTAGTGATCGCACGAACTGGGCTTCCTATGGCGCCAGCTCCTCACTTATCTGTGGCTCCTAAGACGGCCACTAGAAGGGTAAACTATAGCGGTTCTTCTTAACGTGAGCCGTCAAGAACTTAACGCCTCCTGTGAATAGCATACGTCCATCCCCTAGGAGGTGGTCTGGGATACCCCTCGTCCTCGCCCGGGCGAACCCCGGATCTCAGAAGTCGGGCCGGCTCCGCCACAACAGCATGTTATCCCCCCGCAGTGCGGTCCACTTCGAGTCGATCACAGGGCCGGCCCCTAAGGCAACGAACCCCCGCCTCAGATGCCTCCTAGGGAAAGGAAACGCCTGTACCACAGCAGACGATCAACCCCTTGCCGCCTGACGTCAAGGTGAACCTAGACGAAGAAGAAGATCACAGAGAAGAAAAACATTCAGACAGACGGGCATAGACAAAGGTGGTTATTCGGGAAAGAATGGGTAACATCTAGAACGAGTCCATGTCCGATTAAGTTTCTTTTTTTTTTTGTGTGTGATCGTTCCTTTTATCGTTGTCAACTGATTTTCTCTCTTGTGACAAACATGCAAACAAGAGATAAAAGACAAACACCCTGTCCCCATTTTCATTGACATGGCCAATCTCGTTTTCAAGCTTTCTTCTACCTACCTGCACATTAGATCAAACAACAAGTTCAAAGGAAAACAATGCAATTCACACTCACGTCAGACTTTCATTCACACACGCAAACACACATCTTCTCTACCTATCCAGTGAACATTCAGAGAATAGGGCCAAGCAAGTGTGGGTTCACACAGGTGTGAAGGGGTCTGAGTCAAACAACTGACCGTGATTGAAGTTGAAGAGACGGCCCACTCAAGAAGACCGTGTAAAATCACACTCCAGAGAAGACAATCGTCACAACAAGTCGCCCGCAAAACGATCTACACCACTTCCTAGTACGGTCGCTTACCGCGACACCCTCTCAACACACAACCACCTCCCAGTAATCTGACGGTGTCTCAGCGTCTCCGCCACCAACCGCACCACCACGCCGTTGTCGACAATACCAGAACATGCTGCCACAAAATGCCCCTCACAGTCTAAGCGCTTCCACGTCACCACCTAGAACGTGCTGCTGCTGCTGCAAAAGTTCAGCAGCACGTCCGCGTCGCTGCCAGAAAAAACACCGTCGATGTCGGAAGATTTTGACAGCACCTCCGCGTCACCACCAAAATCTCAGCGATGCCGCTGCAAAAAATTGGCAGCGCTTCCGCGTCACTACCTAGAACGCAAAGCCGCTGCCGCTGCCGCAAAAAAAAAAACCGGCAGCGCTTCCACATCACCGTCAAAAAGCGTCGTCGTTGCCGTGCCAAACAGGCGAAGTTTCCCTTGCACCGCTTGCCGAAGACTCGCCGCCGCCGTGCAAGACGGGCGGAGTTTCCCCTGCGCCGCTTGCTAAAGACCCTGCCGCTGCCGTGCAAAACGGGCAGAGTTTCCCCTGCGCCCCACCAGCTGCAACGGCAGCTATGGCTGCCCTCACTCTCATGCTCCCTGCAGACCTCCAGCACTTCCCTCTCTCTTCACCTTGCTGAGATGGCGGCTATGGCTGTGTTCCACAGCTATGGCCACCTCCAGCAGTTCTCTTCCTCCCTCGCCTGCAGACCTCCTCTTCAACCAGCAGCAGTTCCCCCTCCTCTCACTMGCAGCTCCTYCCAGCAGCAGCAAGCCAGCATTCACTCAAGTGAATTGCTAGCAGCACCAGCCACAAAYGATTGCTGGCTRGCTGCTTGCTGGYTGCTTTTATAGTTGTGRRAGGTAGTGGTAGCAGCCTGAGCTCTCAGCCAAAAATTCGAGCTYAGGCTGGRCCCTTGATCTCTTGGTGAGATCAAGGGCACATACCAGCCCCACACAGCAGAAATGGYCAGSTCCACTCATAAAGAAAAGGACCTGGCCCTCTTCCTGCTGTAAAACCAGCAAGGGGGGGCTGTAYCTAGCCACAACCCTTGTTGGTCTGCTACTGCTGAGGTTCAATCTCAGCAGTGCACCTTCTCCTAGACCTRGCCAAGTTCAGAGYCAGGCTCTTAGCCGGTTTGCTGCACAAGGTGCAGCGAACCACTTGGGAACATGGCCCGGACAGCGGCCAGGTTCAAGCAAAAATTAAGAAAGGTGCCCTCTTTCTCTCTCAACCCTGGCCATATTCGGTGCAAGCCCCCTTGCTAGTTTGC